AGCTGTCCCTCCTGGGCGCAGATTGCTTCACAGACATGCAGTATAGCATGTGCACGCCCATGCAAGAGGCCTTATTGGTCAGACACGCGACTCCACTGCATTCTTTCATGTCCTCTTCCAGACAGTGGCAGAATGGGTCTGTTGGCACAGGTGTCTGGACGGACATACATGCTGTACAGCGAATGAGGCCTTTTTGGTCAGTCACACGACCGCACATTTCTTTCATGTCTACTTCCAGACAGAGGCAGGACGGGTCAGTCTCCGAAGCCGAAGGGCAGCTGATGACGTTGCACACAAACAGGAATGTACATTAAGTTTCATGTAGGCTGCATTCTTAAAGTTGAGTGATAGCTCAGAGTCTGCGGACATCACATCCAAGATGGCGACACCCAGAACAAGTCTCAGGGCATTTGGATGTCTACACAAGGGAGGCTTTTACAACACACACACACAAATTCAGAAGCCAGTCTGTCCAATAAAGGAGCCAGCTCCATTGACAACACCTAGTGAAGGCCTCAAAATGTCTGTGATGTAAATTAGGAGCATTGGCGACCTGGCTCCTGGGATTCGTCCAGCCCTGATCAAATACATTAGAGGCACACACGGGAAGATCATTTTTGATATGAATGGCCTGGCGACAGGGTAGAAATATCCCGGCGGCATTGTTCCCCGCGGTTCTACTGACAGCAGAGCACAACCATTGCACAGATGAGAATGAGCTCATCAGTGAGTAAAAACACAGACTGTTTATCCAACATGAGCGTGGCAGACACGCAGACATGAGGCGGTACACATGGAGTCAGCAAGAAAACACATCCCGGAGTCAAATCACAGATGTGACGCTCTGAACATAAAATGTCCCCAAATTTCACCGGCGCCATTCAAAACACAACGGCATGTGGCGTATGCCCTTTTTATTGTCCTTGTTGCCACTGACGACGAGGCCAATGTCATTGCGGCTCGCTGGTTCAGTACGTTGTGGTGTGATTGGCCATGCATCAACGTCTGCATGACTTAAGCCCTGGTTCACACCTAGGCGTATTGCATATGCGCGGTTGTTGCGCGGTTTTTTTACCGCGATTCGCGCTAAAAAAATTGTGCGACAAACGCGTTTCCGAGGGCTACTTGGCTGTATCCCAATGGAAACGCGCAACAAAAACGGCCCAAAGTAGTACATGTACCTTTTCAGGCGTGGGCCGTTTTGTAGCGCGTTAGGGACGGGCTGAAATACGGCAAGGTGTGAACCAGACCCATAGAATACAATGGGATTTAGATGTTTGAGCGTTTTGTAGAGCGTTCGTCGAGCGTAGAACACGCTACAAAACGTTCAGGTGTGAACGAGGGCTTACAGTAGCTGTATATACACGAGAACTCCGGATACAAACACATTCATTTAAATATTTTCTTTTTTTTTTTAAATCCCTTTTATGTAGGGAGTGCTGCCTTCCGTCTGCCCATCACTTCCAACACCGTCCTGCATTCCAGTGTGCTTTGTGTCTCTTTCCCTGCTGCAATCTCCAGTTCTCAAGACTACATATCCCATCATGCATTGCTTCCAGCAAGCAGTGATAAAGTTACATTGTTCAGACATTGAGTTGTAGTTCAGACGGCAGGCTCTGTGAGCGTGGTGACACCGGGAAGTACATATTCACAGGGCTGAGTGAAATTGTGTCACTGCATTAAGGAAGTCCACCCTATGGGCACCTTCAATAAGTTTACAAACTTCTAGATGGATCTGGTTATTAGGAGTGGGAGAGAACTTGCTGAAATAGATTTATTTTTTGACCAGAGCTACCCTTTAACCAGTTGACATCCGCGGTGTTAAACCCCCTTCCCATCCAGGCCATTTTCAGTATTCAGCGCGGCGGTACTTTAACTGACATTTATTCCGTCATGCAGCGCTGTACTGAAATGAATTTTATACCCTTTTTTGGGGACAGATAGAACCCGTGCGTGCCCGCTAGGGGGCGCGCGCGAGCAGAAAAAAATTGCCGCCTGGAGACGGCAACCCGCAGATGCTGCAGTGCCGTCCGTCCGTTTTTTTACTACGGGCGGACGGCAAGAGGTTAAATACACTGGAAGTGACACCGCGTTAAAGCTTCCAGGGTCAGAATTTATATAAACTTTCACTGAAGTTACAAAACTAAGTAAACTGCACTTTGACCTGTGTGTTCTGCAGACGAAGGCCGGCACCCTTCTGAATCATCCGACAAGACTTTGTGCCTCACCCATGTACTACAACGCTGCACGGCTGTGTTATTAAAGAGCAGGGGTAGGTAAACTCGCGCTGTTGTAGAACTACAAGTCCCATGAGGCATTGCAAGACTGACAGCAACAGGCATGACTCTCAGTTGCAGATGCCCGATGGTATTTGTAGGTGCACCACAGCGGCAGGGCTGGAGTTTGCCTACCCGTTTTAGAACGTCAATCTATTGCTGGCTATAGACCTACCAATATGATCATTGTATAGAACGATTGCACCGCTGGAATTATAGCCGCCAGAAGTCGACTGCAACTAAAGCGCGCTTTACGATACAAGGAAGACATCACAATTATAATGCAGATCAAAACAAGACGGTGTAAAGGGAAACCCTGTGCCAGAGTCTTCACCCAGCAGGACACCATCCAATGCCCGTGGAGGCAACGTCATACAAGGACGGCAAATCGGCCACAGACACATGACCTGGTCAATTGGCTGCGTTCAAACCAAATACATGATCGCGTTATTATACAAAGATCACGCAATCTCGTGCCATTTCCGTAAACCCGATTAGGCGCACTTAATAAAGTTGCACAATTGCCATTTTATGGTGATCGTAGCAAAACAAATCCCCTTTAGCTACTTTTCCATTGAACGAATAAGCTGATGAGGAAACACAGACTATGTTCAATGTGATGTATGTGAGCTGTCACCGGCGTGGAACTAAAAGCCCCGGGACAAATCGCTGCTCGTTCCACCGCTATCGTCTGCGTACCGTACACACGACACATGAATATATGACATACATGTGTACACGTGCAGAAATATACTGAACGTTCGATAGAGGCTGAAGGTGTCTTCAGGATAGTGGGGTGTCCAGGAAAGTGATCGTCCCTCATGGGTCTAAACGGACCCCCGTCTGCATAAACGTAAACTCTGGAAAGGGAAGCTGCCAGTCTGTGGGTGCCGTCAGCCAACCTGGACTCCCCCCTACAAGCCGCGTATGAATCACCCGTGTCTTATAAAAGTAGAATATTCATCATACGGGAGCTGTGAGTCTGAAACTGTGATTGCCGGACCCAAACTGTACAACACACACAATGCAGACACAATGCACACATAGACACCCCATTCATCTCCAATGAACAATACTATAAGAGTGGCAATGCTGCATAGGGCTGAGCTATATACACAGATAGGAAGAATGTGACAGTGACAACACAATACACTTATATCATACAAGAATTATCTCGGAGACACACACACACACACCATTCAGTAAGAATCTAAAAGGTGCCCATACACCTTACGGATATCGGCTGATTTTCGTTTGCGATCGCGTTTTCGTCCGATATTCCTAAGGTTGATGGGCAGTGTACAACCGCAAATACTGTACAATCCATCGACTTTTGACTTTCCAGCAGGTTACAAAACTTCTGGCGAATCTTAAGATTTTTGCAAGGTTGATGGTGTTTCCGTACGGCAAAAATCCTACGATTAACACTGCTCATGCGCAAATGAAAATCCGTGCGGTCAATTAACGAAATTCGTCCAGGTGATTTCTGCTAAAGACTGGCTAATTGAACTATGCAATGGTCAGGGCAGGATGGGGCCGCCGTACGACTGTTCGATCTGACTAAAATTTTCATCCGGTGATTGCAAGGTGTATGGGCACCTTTACAATGGCAGCACCATACTATACATAATGGGGGAAATATATCAAAACCGGAACAGATGTGCACAGCGACCAATCAGCTTCTATCTCTCATTGTCAAATCTCAACTGAGCAAACTGAAGAGAGAAGCTGATTGGTTGCCATGGGCAACTGCTCCAGTTTACATAAATTCCCTCCAATGTGCACTTCTAACACTTAGATATATCAATGTCATCAAATAATTAATTCTCTCTCTCTCATGTATGGTAAGTTGGGAACACAAGTGTCCTCAGGTACAGCATGGCACTGCCACACTTACATTATTTATTGGCGATACGTGGTGTACCCAATATATATATATATATACACACATACATATACACATACATACACACAGGCAGAATCTGTAGCAGTTGTCCATGGCAACCAATCAATAAATATTATTCTCACACATATACACACACATTTGTTTTTGTTAATAGAGAGCACCCCTGTGTTTTGCACATAACTAAGAACTCTTGGAGCTGAATGCATCAATACTGGAGCTGGCAGAATCTGGAGCAGTTGTCCATGGCAACCAATCAGCATCCACCTTTCATTTTTAAACCTTAACTGAACAAACTGGAAAGAGAAGAAGTTGATTGGTTGCCAGAAGGCAACTGCTCCAGGTTTGTTTAGTAACACCCCCCCCCCCCTATTAAGGACTCTAACTAGCACCATACTGTACATAATGTGCTCATCTGCCAAAATAATGATATCTGTGCATATGTATATTATACACACACATCGTTCTTGTATAGGAACACAGATGTAAGACTGCCATCATGTAACCTCTTATATACTGGAATGTTATATATACACATACTACAGATGAGAGATATAGATAGATAGATATATATGAGAGAGAGAGAGAGAGAGAGAGAGAGAGAGAGATATATATATATATATATATATACACACTTACATAAAAGTCCCAGCACAACCATTGAAGCTCCTGCACCCCTTTCCCATGGCTGCAGCCTGACCTCCTGCTGGGGCCCCAATGCATGCTGCGGCTTGTAGTTCCCCGGCTGAACAGGTTGCATTGTCCCCGCTGGCTCCTTTGTTATGGAAGTTTCCCCGGACACGCCTGGCAGACACACTCACCTTCATGTCGTTCATGATGGTCTGGAAGAGTCCACCCAGCGCGCTGCAATCCTTCCCCATGTACGCTTCCATGGCTCCTGCCCCGGGCAGAGCCCCCCTCCCCTTCTGCGTCTGTGTCTATACGTCCGAGCTAGGGGGGGGAAGACCTGATTCTTCGGGAATATGGCGCTTACGCAAACGGCGCAGAGCCCCCTACCGGCCACACACGTTGCCAACGGAGACCAGGCGCCTCCCGTTCCGCCCATTCTACGTAAACCACGCCTACTCAACACCGCCCACCCCGAATAGGTGAGATTACGCCCAACGGAACGCGAACAAGACCCGCCTGCGACGCCCTAGTCTACCTATAAACACCCAATCAGCGCCGCCCACCTCCCCTAAGTCAAGCAAATACCTAACCACGCCTACTGCCAGCGATGCCATCCTTAAAGGTAATAGCTCCTCCTTCATCTTATATTTTTTTTTACATACGCAGCGCACCGTAGATAGGTATAGCCACGCATCTCACGCCAAGAACCATTTGGAGGCGGGGCTTTCACGGTGCCGCGTCCTTTCTGGCAGTGTTGCCAGCTCTCCTTGAGAAATCAGTGGCGGGGCCCTGCCCTCCAGTCATCTGAAAGTACAAAGGGCGGGGCGCTGAGTACACAAGGCGGGATACTGGCCACGCCCACAGGTGTGGGAGTCGATCATTCACCTCTAAGAGGAGCGCGCAAAGACTTGTCCTGTGTCCTTGGAAGATGAAAGTTCAGTAAACACAAAGCACATTGTACCAAGGCGGAGAGAGTCAGCCTGTCCCTGAATGACAAATGTCGGGCACACACATGGGAGGGTCCTGAAAATTGTCCTTAAAGGGGAACTCCAATAATTTATTATGGACATGAAAAAGTAAACAGCTTGTCACCTGTATAAGTATGTGACTTTAAATGAAGTGATTTGGACAGATGGCATTTTCCAAATGTGATGTGCGTTCACAGTGGTAAGAGCCAATCACAATGCTTCGTGGAGGAGGACCGTCCAATGAAGTGCACTGTGACCCGAATTCTGCTGTAATGAGCACTTGTGGGCCGTTCATGTGATAAATAGGGGTTTAGAAACTCATAGGTACTATCTATTTGACCCCACGATAATACAGCAAAGGCCCATCTCTGAGCTCCGGTTGTTCCGTCTGCCCATAACTTCCTGCATTCCCATTGTGCTTTGCTTCTGTTTCCCTGCTGCTTGATGTGATGCAATCTCCATTTCTCAAGACCACATATCCCAACATGCATTGCTTCCAGCAAGCAATGATGATGTTGCATTGTTTAGATTTTGTGTTCTGTTTCAGAAGGCATGCTCTGTGAGAGGGGTGACACCAGGAAGAGCATATTCACAGGGCTGAGTGAAATGGTGTCACTGCATTCAGGAAGCACATCCTATGGGCACCTTCAATAAGTAAGTTGACGGACTTCGAATCTAGATGGATCTGGTTATTAGGAGTGGGATAGAACTTATGGAGTTTCAATATAGAAATACAGATTTATTTTTTGTCTCTGACCACAGAGAGCCTTTAGGGCTTGTTCACACGATTTTCTGGTCTGGATTTGGTGCGGATCTTTAGACGCAGTGCTCTACATGCAGTGCGTTTTTGACGCGTTTTTACCGCGGTCCGGACACTTCTTCCTCTGAGGTAACTTCCGCCCTCTCGTAACAACCACTTCCCTTTGTGTATGTAAAGCTGGTGATCAGACATGTATCACGTTTGCAGGCATGGTGTTGGTTCTGGCTACAGCAATCTGCAGAGAATGACGAGCTTGCAGGAGGTCGTATAGCATGGCTCGCAGGGCGGGTACAGCGGGCTCTGCCTCTAGATAGGCAGAGCCAGCTGTCAGTCACGCAGCTGGGCGGATCCAGACATAATTGTCGGGATCCGCTTCAGCTGCGGCTTCTCAATATACCGCGAGCTGTACTGACCCCAGGGTGACGGGAGGACGCTAGTTTGTGTCCTCCCGTTACCCTAAGGAGAACTATGGGGAAAAGCCTTAACCCCATAGCTCTCCTTTAGACCCCGTTCACATTGAACGATTTATCGCACGGTAATTCCCGCGATATCGCGGCAAATTACCGCGCGATATCGCGCTCCAATGCAATCCAATGGGGCAAAGGGTCCTGCTGTCGCGGGTCGTGTGCCGCTACAGCAGGACCCTTTTTTGAGCGGATTTAGCCGCGATTCAAGCTTGCTCAATGCAAGCTTGAACGCGACATCGCGCTGCAAATCTCGCGATGTCGCGCAATATGCAAATCGCGCGACAAACGCGCAATTTGCATATCGCGCAGTGGGAACGGGGCCTTAGGGGCCATGTCACGCTAACGATTTTGTAGCCCTAAGTGCACCTGTTGCCTCTCCCCGCCCGGGGCAGAAGACGGGTTAAGAAGGACAAAGCAGCGGTTCACTTTAATAGGCATGACGCATGGAAGCTGACGCATGGACACCTCTCTCTGACCACGCAGCATATGAAGTTACAGAGATACATTTCATTATCAACAATCCCGGAATGGAATTATGAAATAATTAAAAAAAAGGTGATTCACTGTGACTGCGTATTTTCCAATGAAAAAGTTATAGAGCGATCCCTGCCACGATTAGGGGGGATGAGTCAGCCATCTTGTTAGTTGGTATTTTGTTCGGTCCGTGCCAGCTTCTGCCACCAGAACCTGTTATCCCAGTTTTTCAATGTTCTACAATACAAGCGAGCCAAAGTAAAGGTATATAGCCTGAGAAACAGCCATGCGTACCAGAACGTGGAATCACATTCGTCCTCCTTCGTCCTATCACATTAAAGTGGAATCGATGCCAAAACTTTCTTTTTTTAGCTTTGGGTAGAGTAAGGGAGGGGTATAATTCCGGTCAGCTTTTCTTTTCTGCCCTCTGTGTCCGATTTAGGAGATTTCCTGCCACTTCCTGTCCTATAGCTGCAACAGGAAGTGAGATAAAATCCTCCTAAAGAGAGGGAAATCCATGGTGGTCAGCAGGGTCACCAGAACTAGTGTACCCATTAGAGGATTTCCCATCTAATACTGTTCTGGTTGAAGCTCAAAGGTTCTGGTTAGGCAACTGAGCTCACATCTCCCAGGGAGCTCACAGGACACCCTGGATGGATTACTGAGAAGGGAAAGGTAATGATGGATTCAAACCAGGACTTTTGTACAAAATGCTGATATTTTCACTAATATTTGTAATTTACAGACAGCATAAAAACAGTCAACATGTTTCGAGGATTAATGTGACATTAAAGTCAAACATTTTTTTGCCCCTTCCCAATCCTGCTGTAGGGACTTACCTTAAATGATGCCTCTTGATCCGATCATCTTCCTCTCTACTGTAGCTTGCAGCTGTCCCTCCAGGTGCGGGTCTCCGATCCGGCGCTGACTCCTCTGTCCTCCTCTCCTCTGACGTCCCACGGAGTCTGTGCGGGTGCACGCTGCTCCATAGACTTACCTTGTGTCTCTCCTCGTCTCCCGGCCAAAGATCTGAACTCCGCATGCGCCCGCCCCCAGATCCTTTGCGGCTGCCCGAGACTCTTCAGATGCTCGGACGGGAGCGCGTGGCGAAGACACGGGTAAGTTTAAACCCTTTTTAAAAGTTGTTGTTTTTTTTTTATGTTTCTGTATATATCTTCTACTGGCTAGCAATAGATATATGCAAAAACCGGTGAGGGTTTATTAGCCCTTTAAGAAGTCTCGCTTCATCAGGGCTAAAAATAAATAAATAGGGGGATAAGAAAGTAGAGCTTAAAGGAGAACTATGGGGTCAGGGCTTTTCCCCATAGTTCTACTTAGGGTAACGGGAGGACACAAACTAGCGTCCTCCCGTCACCCTAAACTAAGTATACCGCGAGCTACAGCTCACGTTATACTGAGACGCCGCAGCCGGAGCGGATCCCGACATCGATGTCGAGATCCGCCCAGCTGCGTGAGTGACAGCTGGCTCTGCCTATCTAGAGGCAGAGCCAGTTGTAATCCGCCCCACTCCCTCGTCCGTTCCGCCAGTCAGCGCTGGCGGATCGGAGCGGGGAGGGGGGAATCCAGCCCCTCCCCTGTCATGGCAGAGAGCCGTGACAGGATCGAGAAGTGAGTGAACGCCGGTATGTGTTCGCTCACCTCCCAATCTACTGAGCCGACCTGTGACAGTCTCATTGTCACAGGTCGGCTAGAACTATGAGGTGAGTGAAAAGCACTCACCTCATAGTTCTCCTTTAAAACTCACGATCACCTCTCCTGGGATCCAGAACCGGGTCTTCTCTCCGCTGTCAGCACTTCCTAGTTTTACTCAGAGCACCAGTGCCATGGTTAGTCAGGAGACAGTTCTACTGATTGCTGCTGCCTTAAATTGCGATCAACGCATGGCTCTGCGTTCAGCCAAGCCCTCTGCTGCAGTGCACCCCTGCATCCTGTGTCATCATATGACCCCTGTGCACCCCATGACTCCAGTGTACCCCAGGGCATCCTGTGTCTTTGTATGACTCCTGTGACTTCAGTGCACTGCAGAGAATCCTGTGTCATCTTATGACCCCAGTGCACCCCATGACTCCAGTGCACCCCAGAGCATCCTGTGTCATCGGAGTGCGCCTTGTGCATCCTATGACTCCAATGGCAGACAGTACAGGGACCCTATAAAAAAATCAGGTAGAAGCATGAAGCATTAAAGACATAGCGGTGAGCGCAGAGCCATAGAAAACATCTGAGGTTATGCTTATATGAATTTACATGCAGTACGAAGACTGGCTGAGGGTCCCAATTTCTTACCTCAAGGGACACCATCTGTATGCATGTTCTATTGAGCGCCCTTCAGGCAGCATGTTGGTTTTCAGCACCAGACACATGGTGCTGTTGATTCCCATTGAGAGATATTCAGTGCAAGCAATAAATTAGTATTCCATCATGTCCCTAACCTGCAATCTGACCCTTAGCCCCCCCCCCGATTACATCGACAATGTAGGTGTGTTTAGGAATTCCTGCCTCAGGAACTTGAAAATTCCAGCAGCAGGTATCCCAAATATGCCATTTAGAAGCAACAGCTGTCCCCCATTCAAGTTAATGATGGTGTGACAGCAGCCACATTTGAAAGCGGCAGTGCCCTGGCCC